GAGTTGACCTACCTAGGTGCAAAAGTCATGTGCAAAACGGTAGCTCGGTGCACAAAAATTCCTTTTGRCACTTGATAGAAGAGATTGTAGGAACATGATGGGAATAATAACTGATCACAGCCTGGTGGCGACACACGCTCACACAATGGCGTTGACAGATCGAGAATACTGAAGGAAATGTCTAGAGCAGGACACCAGAGAATCAAGGCAGCATCTCTTGTACACTTGCCACGCATTGGCAAGACTACGCTGTTAGCACATGGGGTCCCCAYKGTATGATACACTKKAGAGGTATAGATAGTGAGGCCGMAGATTGTGTTAAAATTCGCGTCAMRCACAGGCATCCTAAAGGATAACTACTGCTCTTGGACCTAGCAACTGAATTCTGTTAGATAAATACCTAACCTAACATAACCCAACAAGAGTCGAGCCTTCTTCATTATACCAAGAGTAAATACATTCACATTCAATAATCTCATAACGCCGACTCATCAGTTGTTGTCATCGTCCAAGCCTCTGCACCAGATAGTAGGACGAGGATGATGASTGACTCGAGAGAGGACTTTACTTCTCCGTTGCTTACTCAGTCCGAAGTAGCATGTTTTGACAAAAATTTTTTTGCGTGCCAAGTCGCTATTTGTTTGATACAGGAGATATTTCGTCTTGCCTTCGTTCACTACCAGATCCAATTGCTTAGCTTCCTTAACCAGTCTGGGTACTTCAAAAATTWAAAAAAAAAAATTATAAGGTCGCTATAATCGATATTTCGACCTCGATGGTACGCACCAATGAAAATTGTAATCAAACTATCATATCTAATATCACAATTCATCGTGGTGATCTTCAAAGACGATCTGTATAGATTTTACTCGACGGAAGTCAGCTCGAAAGCCAAGTAGACGAGCCTTGTAGAAAACCGAACTCTTCTACTCATGCCTAACTCCAACTCTTTTTCCTTTTCTGTAGGCCTCAGGCCCTGATAAGCATACGTATAGATCAAATGCGACTTTAACTACGTGCCTCAAAAGCAACAACGCACATCAACCCGCAGAAAAAAAWAAATAAATRCGATCGTCATTTACTCGTCTGCTAACCCGAAAGCCATTTATATGAAAATTCCTTTGTTGGCTTATCACTTTGGCTATCAGTAACGGATAAATGCAGCAAATGGGAATCCATCATAAATTACCCTAACTTACCTAACATTAAGCATACAAAGTTTGCTTGGTTCAAACTGAAATGCAAAACACAAAAAACACCAAAAAAAAAAAAAAAAAAAACACCGCGAAAAGAAAGCGAACAATTTGACCAAAGTAATTTTCGTTTTAACTCGCTGTGGGCAAAACCGAGACCCTTCACGGCGTGCCCACATACAACAGAAAGCGCAAATATACTTATAAATGAGACGGGACGCGACACGACGCAACAACAACAACGGCAACAATAAGCGTTTTCGAGCGCTGTCTACTACGTGCAGCTGCAACAACACACAAGCAACAATAAAAATTAATAAATTGTTTTTCACGCGGACGCGCACTCATGAGCTTACGCCTGGCCGACGGACGGTCTGTTTATGTGCTCCTGTCCGTCCAMGCGGCCGTGCGTCCGTCCGTCTGAGGCTGTCTGGCAAGGTTGCGCAGCCACGGCGATGCACGTGTGTATGTATGTATGTTGTGGTTTCTATGTGCCTTCGTATTTATGGCTCTTTTGTGAAGGTAACCAARTTGCGGCTGGCAGCGTCGCGTCGTGCGCTCATTTGCGAAATRTTGCACCTTAATGCGAACAACACATTTTCCCGTCAAAATAATGTCTGGCCCAAAGGTGATTGAGTTCGTTACATTGTTGGGCAACGCTACAAATGCCTTCATAGATGTATGTATGTATGTATGTGTGCTGTGTGACTGGGCGCGCGCGCGTGTGTGTGTGCAATGGTTATTACCACATTGTTGCCGTTGTTGCAACGCGTAAACAACTGCARTGACATGACCAAGCTGTGCAGGCGCTCGAACGGCTGACGGCTCCAGACGACCGGTTGGCTGTACACGCTGCAGACACATTCATTGCCGTACGTTTGTCTGGCTGTCAGTCGGTCGGTCTCTCTATCTATTTGTCTGCCGGTACAACCATACGCCCGTACTGTACGTCGCGGTCATAGCCGCTTAATGTCAGGCCAAAACATGGTCGTAGTCGGAGTCGCCGTCGCCGTCGCAGCAGTGCGCGCTTCGCGTCACAGTCGTAATCGCGGTAATCGCTGTTGCAGTCTCATCTGCAACGCCCATTTTCAATGTTTTGCATTTCTTGGCCGCATGTCCACACGGCTACCGTGTTGCGCATGCGCACGCGCACACCACCTTCGCGCCGTTATCTCTCGGCCTTTGTGGCGTAAAAGGTTCGCTGCATGCATAATATATGACCGTTGCATTGCGATGATACAAACGCTCTCTCTTTAACTCGCGGCGAATTCTTCGCCGCACACTTTCATACATACATACATATGCGTGTGTGTGTATATGTGCTGTCGCACACCGCACACCCGTCACAGGACGCAAATGCGCCAGACAGTGAAAAACAACCGCGTCGACACTTTTACATTTTAYGTCTGCTTTGTGTTGCGTGTATTGGCCTGTGGCCAGTCAGCGAACTTTACCATTCGACAGGTAATTTTTTACACCAGCGTGTCTGGAGGAACGCATGCGCGTGAGTGCGCTCGCGCCATGTGGCCATTATCGTTCGCAAAGTTGTTGTCGTCGTCGTCGTCGTGGTTGTAGGCAGCCGTCGCACATACTCACAGTCACACTCCTGCGCTGCTGCGTGAAGTTTTGAAATGTGCCAGACGCATAAACAACAAACAAGGCAAATGAAGGAGTTGCAAAAAGAAATATGTAAGTACATACATTTCATATATGTACATATATGTACTACGGGAACCTTACAACAATGTTGCAAACAATTGAAAAAACTGTCATATTTTGGATGTCCGTTAAGCAGGTTATYTTTCATGTTTATTCCTCTGTAGCTAAAAGTTAACCTTTCTTCAGTGMTTTTCAACTCTTCAGGCTTGCTTCATCTTTTTCAGAGTTTCAACTCGCTTTTTTTTGGTGCTTTTATAAGTATCTTTATCATTTAGACAGTCGGCAGTTTGACCTTACTTGTCTTGAGGAAAGTTCTTTTAGGACAAAAACACAATCATTAAAACACGAAAAAACAGCAACCTCGAATTGTACGGAAGCTACAATGCAACCTTCACAAACGCAAAAAATTCCCAACAGGTGCTTGATTTTTATCGATCAGTTTGTCTGCCAGATATTTACTATAGTTATATACCTGAACAATTTCTTCGGAGAAGTATTTTTGTCCGTTGCCTTGGAYAATAATCCATGGGAATTTTCTTGAAGATATCGCGTCAAATTAAAAAGTTTTCCATACAAKCACTTGATTCGAATCGTTCAATATGTATGGCAGCCATATGCTATAGTAGACCGATCTAAACAATTTCGTCGGGAACTTCACTATTCTTTTAAGCAATAATCTTTCCTAAGTTTGGTGAAAATATCTCGCCAAATGAAAAAAGTTTCCTATACAAAGACATTGATTCCACTCGTTCAGCTTCTCTTACTGCTATATGCTATAGTGGTCCGATATCGGCGGTACCAACAAAAGAGCAGCTTCTTTCAGAAAAAAGCGCGTGTGCAAAATTTCAGATCGATATCCTAAGAACTGAGTGACCATTTAGGTCATACACTCTTTCGACATGCTTTTGGGTCGTGCAAAAAACTGGAGACTATTTTGAATAAAATAAATTAATTTTGCCGAAAAACCCATTTGCTCTATTTTTTTACTCTCCTGGTTACTTTGGAACGCACCTTGTAGTATACTCTTTTCAGAGTAAATATAATTACACTTGATGTGATATTTCTGGAGGAAGTCGGCTGAATACATTTACTTCATGAAATATTATTATTTCGTTGCTAAAATAGATCGCATCTTCTCCCTTTCCACTTCGTAGTAATTTTGGCAACACTCAACTACTACCCACATAGTTAAGTTTCAAAAGTGATCTCAAGTCCACTGAAGTTGCATAGCAATTGTMTCGTTCTGATGTATAACCCCTTTAATCCAGATAATATTAGTTTGTCAAAAAAGTCTTGCGGTATTTTTATTGAATTTTCAATTGTTCATAAAATTTTTTTTGATGACTCATGTCCAGCTCGTGACCGATGCTACGGCTGCTACTATGCCGGTCTCTTTCAACCAATTCAGCGATTTTATCGCAATTTTCGACGACAGGCCTTCCGGAGCGTGGCGGATCTTCGACCACCTCTACACCAGAACGAAAACGTTGAAACCATCGTTGTGCGGTGGAAATGGAAACTGTATCGGGTCCATAAACTGCAACAGTCGGCTGGCAAGGTTGTGACATCCGCATTTTGGGATGGAATAATTTTTATTGACCTTATTAGACAATTCGAGGGACGAAGTCACCGACAAACGGCCGCATTTGAAGAAAATGTAAGTGGAGTTTCATCAAGAGAATGCACAGTTTCACATGTCGTTGAAAACGATGACAAGAATTCATGAATTGAGCTCCATATTCAGATTTGACTTACAGCAACTATTTTCAGTACTCATATCTCAAAAGAATGCTCATTAGGAATAAATCTTCGTCGAATGAAGAGGTGATCGCCGAAACAGAGATCAATTTTGAAACAAAGGACAATTCGTACTACAAAAAAAGTATGAAATTTTCTATAATCAGTGTATCATCCTTGACGAAACTATGTTGATTAAAAAAAAAACCGAATTTTACCGAAATATGTGTTTTACTATAGTAAGACGCGGACTTTTCAATTTATCTGTTTTTAGTTAATTATGACACATTCTAAAGGGCGGATATCGGTGGTCCTACGAAACGGATATGGGACTTTCCATCTTACTTGTAAATTTACAAATATAATATATTATAATACATTTTCTTGTATTTTTTGCAAATTTTTATGCAGATGATCGTCCCACTTGCAGCGAAATCAACTGCGGCCGCAAGCACACCTGCCTGGTGGATTTGCTGACGCTGGAGCCGCGCTGTGTCTCCTGCAGCTACAAATGCGCGCGCAAGCGTCGACCAACGGTAGGTGCCACGCCAATCAATTACACACATACACACACTTACAATATAATATATATGTATATTTTAATTTCATTTTATTTACTAAAAYTATTCAATAACTTATCTCGACTCTTGCAGTCGCTGCGCTTTGAGGAGGGCAAAATATGCGGCATCAACAATCGCACGTACAACTCGTGGTGTGAATTGCGGCGCGACTCCTGCAACACCGGATTTCTCATCGACGTCAAAGCACCTGGCGAATGTCATTAAAGATGAATAACGGTAAAATGACGTTTAACAAAAATAAAAAGGAAAAAATACAAATACATAAAGCGTAGAACGGCTATCTATTTGTAGTTGTTAAGAAAAAGGCTTTTAGCAAAAATCAGTAGTACTAAATTTACCCACCCACATACACACATTCATACTCGCACAGACACACAAACACATACATACATTCACATATAGTATGTATATGAGAATTAAACAACATTAGTTGGTCTTCCAAGCAGCGCATATCTCCAAAAAGCTCATCCTGCGGCACTCACACATACATGCGCACACACACCCATACATTAACAGTTGTCGGTGTGTCTGCATGTGTTTGCTCTGGCCGCTAAACTCCTTTTTGTGCCGTAACCCCGTCGAATTGCTCGTTTTTCACCTTAGTCCTTAGATACTTCCAAAGATAATGTATGTTTAAATGTCACACGTACACATACAAACATCGATATTGACAGTTTTAAATTTATTTATAATAGTGTGTAGTAGAATGAAGGCTTAGTTTATGACGTGCATATATAACTAATGACGCTGTAATTACATAAGTTAGCCAATTTAGAGATTTACAACGACTTATAAATGCTTAACGCCCACACACAAACACACACACACACACATACACATATACACATACCCACCCAAACACACATACATACACATATATGTATGTATATATCATGTATAAAAATAATGTGACATTGTATTTATTTTGAAAATTCTTTATTTATTCTTCCAAATCAATTTCATTCTCTTCAAAGTAATCCCCTCCCGATGCAATGCACTTATGCCAACGGTTTTTCCAATCTTCGAAACACTGGTTGTAGTCACTTTCCGGGATGGCCTTCAGTTCCGTCTTCGCTGCAGCTTAAATCTCCTCTATCGTATAAAAACGGTATCCCCGGAGCGGTCTTTTGAGCTTCGGTGAACAGCCAGAAGTCRCACGGCGCCAGATCAGTTGAATACGGTGGTTGCGGAACGATATGTGTTGAGTTTTTGGCGAAATGATCACGAATTACGAGGGCCTTTTTTCGAAAAAACTCAATGTTTTCGGTACYAGTCGAGATTTGACGCGCCTGAGGCACAAAAAATCCTTCAAAATGGTATTGGCTGAGCCTTTCGATATGCCAACTTCATCAGCAAGGCCTCTAATTGCTCATCGATGGGTTTTCAACACCAAATCTTTGATTTGTTGAAGGTGAGCCTCGTCGGTTGAGATTGATGGTCGCCCTAGACGCTCTTCGTCTTCGACACGTTCACGSCCGGCTTGGAACTCACTATACCACTTGTAAACATTTTTTTTAGACATAACCTCACCACCAAAGGCTTTCTGCACCATCTTCAACGTATCCGCAGCAGAAAATTGATTCCGTAAACAAAATTKAATGCAAATTCTTTGCWCAACAAATTTCKACATCACAAAAAACGAAAAACTCACTTTTAGCAGCTCACAAAACGACACGTATCTCAAACCCTAATGAATATTWTSACATGAAATTTGACATAAAYGTGACTGACAGTACTACCAACCTAAAAAATTCATAATTCTCCAAATCCTTCGACGCGCGCAGTTTAAATTGTAATGTCACCTTATTTTTTGGGCACATACATACATATATCTTGGTATAAAAGTATATAGCAGCCACGTATATACTTACTCAAACACACTTGACCATAAATCTAACAGTTACAACAGCAAAAACATATCTTAAGAGGCTTTTAAAATAAACACAAACCCACACACACACACA